GGGTCACAGTAAGGACCCAATATTGACGCATGCATAGTAGCAGCAGTATTTTGCCTTCCTCTGCACCCTCGTTAGCACGTGTCTAACCTTCCAGCCAGTGACACCCCTGCCTTCTCGGCTCCCTCTCTTTCCCACCAAAGTGTGTAGGGTGACAAACTTTTCTTGACTTTTTGCAGTCGTGGTCTTATACTTAATTTGTCCTTTTGTGTTTGACGGATTTCACTCGGCACCTTCCCCTCCAGTTCCTGAGGTGTGTCTCCATCATTGGTCTTTGATATTCCGACCTTGACTGATCCGTGCATCCCGGTGTTTGGGTCGTGCCCATCATGTTTGCTACTGTGAGCCGTGCTGCGATGGACATGGGTGTGGGTGGCTGCACTTCAGAAAGCCAATCACGAGCCAGGGAGAGCCCGGTTGCTCCTTACCTCAGTAGGAAATAGACTTTGTACCGATAAACTTTCTGGAGCCCTCTGGTGTGAGGAAGCAGAAACACCTGCACACAGGGTTACCCTAACTTCACCCCTGCGGGGGAACTTCTTCAGGGATCTTGTCATCTACCCTGGAAGCACTCACTCGTCGGGGCCTGGAGTGTGGCAGGCAGTCGCCTGGTCAACCAGCCTGCAGAGCTCCCTAGTTGTGCCCGTTCCAGAGAAAGGAGATCCAACCGAATGTGGAAACCATTGAACAAGATCGTTAACATCACCATCCAGTGAAGTTGCAGCAATCTATGGGCAAGAAACTGCCAGAAATTCAAGCCGGCTTCTGAGGAGGAAGTGGGATGAGAGCTGTCACTGCTGGGGCCCCACAGAGCTTGGTGGAAAGCAGAGCAGCCTGGAATGATGTCTACCTGTGTTTGGTTGACTGTGCCAAGGCATTTTGTGGTTCCTAGCAAATCACAGAGAGTGTTGAGAAAAAGGAGACTTCCAGAACATGTAGAAACCGTGTAATTATTTGAACAGAACGCGGGGACACCGTTTGGTTTACAATTAAGAAAGGTGTGCCTGGATTGTGATGAATTGTATGAGCCCCAATACAATGATTTTTTTTAATTAAAAAAAAAAAGAAAGGTGTGCCTTGGGGTTGGATTCTTTTACCACATCTAGTGGATCTGTACGCTGAGCAAATAATCTGAGAAGCTGGACTGTTTGAAGAAGAATTTGTCATCAGGATGGCGGCAGGGGGTGGGGGGCGCATTTATTAACAACTCTAACTATGAAAATACACAACCCTGCTGGTTGAAAATGAAGAGAGCTGAAGCACTTGCTGATAAAGATCAAAGAACACGGCCTTGGATGTGGATTACACTTTACTTTAAAGAAAACAAAAATCTTCACAAGTGGACCGATAAGAAATATCATCATAAATGGGGAGGCGGGGTCCGGGGGTGGGAGACTTCCTTTTATTTGGATCCACAATCAACCCCCAGGGAAGCAACAGTCAAGTGTGGGAAACTGAGGACTGGGAAGAGAGTGTATGCAAGCAAATTCTTTATTCTCATATTTTAAGAAGCCTGAGAGTCCGGGAGAGGCCTTCACGTTTGTGAGTTAGAGATGAGTCCCAATCACGTGCTCATAACTACGATGAATCCCACCAAGTCCTCCCATGACAGCGCCACCTCGAAGTGACCTCGTACACGCACACGGCTGATTGCCGTCAGGCCGTCAGGCCGGCAGCTTTACTATAGGAGGAGACTTGTTGTTATTGCCCTCACCGTTCAGGGGACAGTCCCTCCCCCTGACCTGGCCCCAGCACCATTGTTAGGTTGCTCCTCCAATGATCTCAGGGACCTCTAGGGTTAGGGTATAGCCCACTTTGTTACCTATGTGGTAATTAGGGGGGCTTGTATGCCCGAGACTATATAAGCTGATGTAAGAATACATTATCTCTCCCCAGCCCTGACCTGGTTCCTGATGATGTGGTGGAGGAGAGCACCCCAAAACTCTGGTCTGCCTCTTAATTTCTTCCCTTCAATGACACAAGCGTCCCTTAGGACCCATCTGGATGTGGGACTGGACCTCACGCTCAAGAAAATGCATTGAGAAAATCTCCTGCCAAACAGAGAAAACAAAAGAAAGCCTCGTTAAAGTGTTCCAAAGCGATAGTCGCTTTGAGAAGTAAGGTGGCCTTGACCCCCGCCGTGGGCTTTTTAACCGCTTCGTATGCATGTGAAGGTTGGACCATGCGTACGGGAAACTGAAGAGGAATCGATGCCTTTGAGTCAGGCTGCTGGAGAAGAATCTTGAACATCATACTTCGGAAGGTAGAGGGCAACCAAAAAGAGATGGACCCTCCGTGAGGCGCGCTGGCACCGAGGCTGTAACTGGGCTCAAAGACAGCGACAATGGTGAGGAAGGTGCACGACTAGGCAGTGAGTGTATGGAGGGAGGGAGCGCGGCTGTGAGTCAGAGCTGACTTAAAGGCACCTCGCCACACAGTAAGGAGAATTCCAAGTAATGTTGCTGCCCTCAAGGGGCATGTGATGGTTAATGCTGTGTCTCTTCTTGGCTAGACTATGTTTCCTGGTGCTTGGTAAACGCTAGGCAATTCCACCCCCAGCCTCATCCCCAATCCATGATTTGATGTAAGCAGCCTATCAGTTGAAAGGGGATTTGCTTTGGGGCTGGGGCCTGCCTGCATGATATGAAAAGATATTCTAGAAAAGCTTACTCTGTCTCAGGCCTGCACCCTTCTGACTGTTTGACCGCCAGCTGTGGGGACCCAGGAAGCCTTCAGTCTACTGCTCCACACACAGATGTGGGACTTGCCAGTCCCCACAATGGTGAGAGCTAGTTCCTTGGGGTAAAGATTTCTCTCCATACTATCTACGCTTTACTGGTTGTGTTCCTTTAGGGACCTCCATCGAAGACGGCGGAGAAAACTTCCTTCATTATACGTGGGCTGTGCATAGTCACGAGAATTGGCTGGATATTACTAAGTGCAGAACGGAAAGGGAGATATAAGAGGGCTGCTTCTCAGGAGGACATCTAAGGTGTAACTCTTGGTCTGTCCATTAAGAACTAGATGGGGCCCAGCCCCGACTACCCATTAGAAAGGCCCGGATAGAGTGGGAGAAAAATGCAGAACAAAACTCAAAAATCATGAAGAAGTCAAGTCCTGCTGGTCAGATAGAGACTGGCATGATCATCGAGACGATGCTCTTTGGGTCTAGAGCTGTGGCTAGATTTTCAACCAAACACTAGACCGGTCTATAAAGGGAATGATAACACTGATGAAATGCACACACCTTAGAACAATCAAACTTTAGGAATCAAGGGGGAGCCCTGGTGGCATCGTGGTTAAGCTGTGGGGCTGTGCTTAGCAAGGTCAACATTTCGAAATCACCAGCCCAATACACAGGAGACAGAAGGGACTTTCTGCTCCTGTGAAAGAGTTCGTTTCAGAAACTCACAGGGGAATTTCTACCGTGTCCGACAGGGTCACTAGGAGTCAGCATCAACTAGATGGGCAGTGCATGAGAGGAATGAAGGAGGCAGCATTTACCCAAGGACAAAGTTTCAGAAGCGTTAGAGAAAGAGGACTGGAAACAGAGGGAGGGGGTGTGAAGGGTGATATTACAGGGAGGGGTTTGCATGAATGAGGTGAAACCTTGCCCATCAGCGGTTCTCAACCTGTGGTTCGAGACCTCTTTGGGGGTGGAACGACCGTTTCACAGGGGTCGCCTGATTCACAAAAGTAGCAAACTGACAGTGATGAAGTAGCCACGAGAATAATTTGATGGTTGGAGGTCACCACCACATGATGAACTGTGTTAAAGGGCCGCGGCGTTAGGAAGGTTGAGAACCACTGCTGTCTATGAGTGAATCCTGTTCATGGGGAACGAGTGCAAGGATAATAGGAGCTTCCTACAATTTTTAAAACAGTTTTATTGGCCTATCACTCACGCACCCTACAATCCAATAATTCAGTCACATCAAGAACCATCACATCTACCTGAAAACATTTTCTGCATTCTTGTACTCATTATTAGCTCCCCATTTCCCCCAACCCCCCCCCAAGGGAACAGTAAACCAGTTACTGTCTCTATCGATTTACTTATCTTTTCTGCGAACTGTTGGAAGCCCATCACAGGTTCCTCTCTGGTCCCTACTGCTTTCTAATGACCCCTCCAGGGAGAACTGACCCCCTGCGCCCCACTCCAATGTGCTGTCACAGCGCCAACCCTTGGTACGGGCCAGCCCTTCTACCTGGAAAAGGAACGTGGGAAAGCGGGTCATGGAGGCCGACTGTGAGGAATGAGGCAGGGAAGGGGATGGAGAAGAAACAAAGGAAAGAAAAGAAGCGCTTTGCATAAATCCATTGTACACACACACACACCGCACAATTCGATGAGGTCGTTATTTTACAGATGAGCCAACGGAGGCATATTGAGATGAGATAGGTGGTGTTGAGGTTCCAGTTTGACTCCAGGCGGTGGACCTGTGAGCCCGGTCATCCTGCAGGGATCCGGCGCAGCAAGGATTCCACGGAGGTCAGCTGTCACCGAGGTCAGCGGTCACTGCTGTGGCTGTCAGAAGCAAAGGCCTGGGGTCTCTCGTGGGTGCAGTAGAGGTCACTCTGGGATCCAGCACCAGCCTAGACTAGAGAATGAGCCCAAACCCAGGCAGAGCCTCGGCGAGTGGGGGGTTGGGGGTAGGGCTGGCGTCGGTGCTGGACCCGTTGCCATGGGAACAAACTGAGGCTTTAGGCAAGCGCACGCGCAGATCGGAGCGAAGGTGCTGACCCGGGACAGGTGACGTAAAAGCGCACGGGGCGGGGCGCAGGCTTCGGAACGTCAACGCCCGGCGTCCGGAGAGCGGGAGAGGTGCCCTCGGTGGCGGCGGCCGCGGTGACCGCAGCCCCCGCCGGGCCGAGCCTGGGGTCGAGGCCCGGACAGCGCGAACTGACGCGCGACGCGGCGCGAGGACGGTGCCGGGAAGACCCCCTCGGCACGATTCACGGCGGCCCAAACCCAGGTCCCGGTTCCGAGGCCCCTCCCCGGGGATCTGGAACTAATCAGATTGAGAGCGCGCCGGCCTGGGCCGCGAACTCGCCAATTGCGGAAGGCCTCGGCCGCCGCCCAATCCAGAGCAGACAGGTGCGAAGTCCGGAAGCCAGCGGCCAATCGGCCGCGGTTGCGGCCTGCTGGGGCGGGTCTTGGCCAATGAGAAGGCTCGAATGACATCTCCGCGCGCCAATCGGGAGTGAGGGAGCCTGCGTGCCCGCCCGCCCTTCCGGCCAGCGCTCTATTTACCAGGGGCGTGCAGCCCGCTTGCCAATCAGCGCGCGGCTCAGCGGCCAGCAGCCAACCCCGGAGCAGCGGCCGGCCGGCGTCGGCCCGCACCCAGGAGTGGGGGATGTCCTACAAGCCCATCGCCCCCGCCCCCAGCAGCACCCCCGGCTCCAGTACCCCTGGGCCTGGCACCCCGGTCCCTACAGGTGAGGACCCAGCTCCACCCCTGCTCGCCTCCCCGGGCGCTCGAGGCATCCAAGAGAAGACGGCCTGAGTTCTACAATACTGGGCCTGCCGCCTAGCCTCCTGGAGCCTCAGTTTCCTGGCCTGCGAAGTGGGCGTGGTGACGTAAGGGCTTGTAGGTGGGGCTCAGGGGGAGGGGTTTGTCCCTGAAGCTGACCCGCCTGGAATGAAGCATCCCTCAGAAGGGAGTCGGACCGACCTCGACCGGGGGCTTGGAACGCTGGGAGGAGGCGTCCCTGCCCCATGCTGACCCCTTCCTCGCGCCTGTTGCAGCCGGAAGCGTCCCATCGCCGTCGGGCTCCGGGCCGGGAGCCGCTGCCCCTTTCAGGCCACTGTTTAACGACTTTGGACCGCCCTCCATGGGCTATGTGCAGGTGAGTGGGACGGCTGGCTTTGGGACGAGGGCCGGCAGCCCGCTGGGGCCCTAAGCTTTGCCCGCTTGTCTTTGGCATAGGCTATGAAGCCGCCCGGCACTCAGGGCTCCCAGAGCACCTACACTGACCTGTTGTCGGTCATAGAGGAAATGGGCAAGGAGATCCGGCCCACCTATGCAGGAAGCAAGAGTGCTATGGAGCGCCTGAAGAGAGGTAAGCCAGCTCAGGCCAGCCAGAGCCACTGGGCAGCTTCTCAGTGAAAGGCCATCCGGACAGAGACCTCGGGCCAGTGTCACTGCCCAGAAAGATGTTCTGAATTAAATCTAAATTGAGGCCGTGTCGGGGAGGGATCAGTGTGTGCTAGCATTTAACAAGGCGAATTTGAGGTGGCGCCAGACTTCCTCATCCAGCCTCTCCTGAGAATTTTGCCCTGGTGGCACCGTGGGTAAAGCTTTGGGTTGCTTAGGCAAGGTAGGCAGTTCAAACCGGTATGCCATTCTAAGGGGCAAAGATGAGGCTGTCTGCTCCTGTGAAGATGAAGATTTACTGCCTAAGGAACCCCAGGGAGCAGCCGCTGGCTGTGAGTTGGAATTGCCTGGAGAGCCTTAGGTGGTCGGATGGAAGGGAAGGCGCCCTATTTCCACAGGGGAGCATGCCGCTCCGAACCAAAAGGTTGAAGAACTGTTAGAGCCCATCCAGCAGTCCCGCGGAAGAAAGGCCTGGCATTCCATGGCCATAAAAATGACCGGCCTGCACCGCTGTCAGTCAGCTTGGATGCATAGCAACCCCACGGGAAAGAGGAGAACTCCCCAGGGTTTCCCAGGCTGGAAATCTTTCTGGGAGCAGAGAGCCTGTCTTTCTCCCTGTCTTTTAACCCGCTGCACCAGAAAGAGTCAAACCCAAAACCACCGCTGTCATCCATCAAGTGGATCCTGACTCATAGCAACCCTATGAGACAACATTGAACTGCCTCTTTGGGTTTCCCAGGCTGTAAATCTTTACAGGAACAGAAAGCCTCGCCTTTGTCCCTCGGAGCGGATGGTTGGTTCAAACTGCTGACCTTGTGGTTAACAGCCCAACGCATAACCCAACACAGCCTAGAGAACTTGGTGACACTGCCTCAGGGTGTCCACCCCATAAGAACTACCACTGAAAGAGTGCAGAGGGGGTGGGGAGGCCTCACTCTAGTGGGTGGGGCAGGCTGTGGAGGTCGGCTGAGACCCCCTATGTTACCCTTCCCTGACCCTAGGCATCATCCACGCCCGGGCCCTGGTCAGAGAGTGCCTGGCCGAGACAGAGCGCAATGCCAGAACGTAACGGAAGCGCCCTCGCCTTCTCGCCTGGACCTTGCCGGTCACCGAAGAGCACCGACCTCTCCCCGGCCTCCACCCCGAGTTGCACTTCCTGCCCTGTGTCCCTGGGTGGGCACCCTCCAGGAACCAGGGCCCAGCCCACTCCGGTCTGCTGCACTGGCCGAGGGCCCTCCAACTGTCAGCCGCCAGGTCACTGTGAATCCCCTCTTCCCATGACCTGCCATCAGTGCTGATCCACCGGGAGCCTTCACCTTCCGGTGCCCCCTCCCCCCTCAGCACCTAGCCAGCACCAAGGACTACTTCCTTTCCAACCCCTTGTCCCCAGCAGGCGCCTGGAAGGCTGGTCACTCCCTGCCTTGTCCCCTGGGCCACAGCAACTCTTTTCTCAAGTGTGTCTTTTGCTAAATATGCCCTTTTTGTATAAAATAAAGCCGATTTGGAGTTGTTCTCTCCTGCTCTGGTTTTTGTGCTAAGCTTGGGTGGGCCCCATGGAAGGAGGGAATGAGGAGACTCGGTGAGGGTGCTCACTGAGCCCATGGGCCAGGGCCCTTTCCAGCTGCAGAGGGTGGGAGGGGCTGCAGGCGCTGACAGCCCCGCGGGCCTTGGTGTGCTGCCACCAGGGGGCAGCACAGAGCCTGGGCTGCCTGCCCAGCAAGGTAATACCTTGGCCAGAGGGCTCGTCCTATGCGGCATGGGGCACGCTTGGCTGGGTGGCCGGTTCCCTTCAGCCACTCCCTGCTGTGTCTTAAGGCCCTAAGGTTCCCCCCGAGCACACCCCAGCCCCACTCTTCAGAGGAGAGGGCACTGCCTCCGGGGTAGCAGGGGCCTGGCCGCCAGCCCAGGGGAGACCCAGTGCAGCGCTCCTTCCAGCAGCCTGGGCGGGGCCCCATGAGCCCGCCCGCCCGCCAGCCTTTGGGTGTCTTGGCCTTTGCCCAGGGTCTGGTGGCCGGGTAGCCAGCCTTGCGGACCGGAAGATGCAGGTGGAGAAGGCCCAGGGGTGCTGGTCAACAGCCCCAGCGTTCTGAGGGGCAGCAGGTCTCTGCCCCAGCCCTGTACCTGAGAGAGCCTAGAGAAGTGGGATCCTGGCACCCCAACCCCGCAGGCAAGGCAAGTCAGAGCCCAGCCTCTGGCCAGAGGTGAGGAGGGAGGTGCTTCCTCTGGCCTGAGTCACTGGTTCCTAAGGCTACGGAGGGTGAGGGGTGCGACCCTGGGGAGAGCCCCTTCCCAGCCAACTCCGCCCCTTCATGATACCCTGGCAGGCTGGGCCAGGGGGAGGGGTGCGAGGTAGGCCCCGGGGGCCCCAGCCCACACCCAGGAAGTAAGCGCCAGCCTGTGGCCGATGGCCTCTTCCCCCACTGCTGCCTGCCGGTGGGGAAGGAGGACAGGGGCCAGCCTTCCGCCGTCGTCGTGGGGAGGAAGGGGGTGGGGCGGCCGCAGTGACGCGCCGGGCGCCAGGGAGGCGACTGCAGGGGCGCCGGCTGGCAGACTGGAGGAAGGTCGGGGCCATGGGCCCGCGCTGCGCCTCCAGAGGGTCCGGCCACTGCTGGAACCCGAGGCCGAGGCGGGGGGCGCTCCGGGCTCGGACCCACAGCCCGGCCGCCCCCGCCCGGGCCGGGTGAGGGACGCCGGGACGTTAGCAGGCGGGCCCGGAG